AAAATATAAAATAACTGCAATAAATAAGAACCTATGTTCACATATTAATACACAGGCACAAAATACTATATTTTAGTAATTATTGCAAGCACAGAAACAAGTATATAGGAACGTTCAAACCCACAAAAACATTAACATACTTATTAGACAAAAACAAAAGAGAAATATAAAAGACCATTGTCCACAAGACATACACACGAGAATGAAAAAAAAATATAGTAGAACAAAATACAGTAAAATAAAATGCAAAAATGTTCAAAATTTGCTTTAACCGTAGATAATACCCTCTAAACATAGAAAAAGTGAAAAACGAAAAAATCATCCAGAAATTAAAAAAAGTTTTAACTACACTCAACCTGAAATAGCGTCATTGTAAATAATGGTGAATACGTTGCTGTACCTATATATTATCATTAGATAACAATCGATGTTTAGATTTATGCTAAAAAAAGGTTTCACAACATTCATTAAACTTAAAGATATGATCGCGCAAAAGACTTTTGTGACTAAAAGTATAAAAAATTAACATTAATATTATTTGAAAAAAATTATTCTAGTTTGTCAGTAATGAACAAGCTAAGCGTAATGAAACTACCAGTTACATCTAGATTGTAGTAATAGGTTAATTATAAGACAAAATATCAAGTATCGAAAATTATGCGATTATTTATTTTAGTTCTATCATAATTTATAGCATTTATATTTGCTCACATTCCATTAATTTTAAGATGATAAAACATCTCACATTTAGCTTATTTTCTTTATCTAATTAACTTGCAGTTTGAATGTTGCATAACCGGAAAGATTAATGATTAGTAATAAAAGTAATGGAAAGAAATTATTCAATATAAAACAAACTAGCCTTACCCGACCAGTCAAAAATGACGGTTTCAAGTTTTGCAAAAAAAAATAAACCCACAGTACGTATTTTTCTAATTACGTCATATAATTTACATATTACGGTTTAAACGCCCAAAGAAGATGAAGCACCCAAAACCAATAGGTCTAAGATTTATAATAAAAATTCTGTAACAAAGTTTAGACCTAACAGTAAAAATTAATTTCAAGTGCCATCGTTAGTTGAGTAAAGACAACACGTTTGAAAGAAAAGGAAGTTTTATCCAAAATAAGTAATATTAATAATAAAACTGAAAAACTTCACGAAAATATAATAAAAAACACATAAATTCTAACCTCTAACTTAGACGTTTTTAAAACTCGCCAATAACTTGGAATTGTCTACGTCAAGCTAAGCATATGCATAAACTACCGCCAGTTCTTTTTCCTCCGTGTTTACTATGTGTCACAGAAAAATATACATCTCAAATATTATTGCCAATGAACAAGAGGTGGCGCGTCATGTCCTTTTCTTGTGGAGGTGAGGGTAGAGGACATAAGCCTGTACTTTTACAACTGAGTACAGTACACTACAGTGGATTAATTTCAAGAACACTGTAAGAATATATTTATCTACAGCATAATCAACAATTTTCACCATTAAATGTACAATTCATAATTATATGCTAGCCAGATTCTGCTATTTCATGTGAGATTCATTTCTGCAATACTTTGTTTTCATACACAATCGGCAATGTGCAAAACGTTTATACATCTAATACGCTTAACTGATATTCAACACACACACATTACAATTAAATGTAACAAAATAGAAAGGCATGTATATACAATATCACTGTTAAATCGCCATGCAAAACAAGATACTCGTAAACGGAACCATAACCTAGGCAATATAGCATATTTGCATAATTACTGTCCTTTAAACAGCACCAACTTGTTACACTTCTGAAATAATTTTTCGCCTTACTGTAGCTTCATGTTGTGCAAATGTACAGTATGGTGATAATGCACATTGAAGAAGATTTGAACTACAAGCCTCACTAGATCAAAGTAGTGGATATCTATTCCAAATGATGTTGCGCGGGCATATTCGTCAATTCCAAATATATCACAACCAACGTCAGTGAAAACACAGCGTTCCCAGCGTAGCTTTTTGCAACATCTTTGTACTTTGTGGACATCAGTCATCTGCCTAAGGTTTTTCTCAGCTGACATCAGGAGAAGTATCACATCATCTGATGGCAATTGCAGTCCCCCACAGTTTATGAGGTTTAGCAACATGAAACAGTTTTTGAAGCCAGCTGATATTGTTGTTGAGACAAGGCATTCATGGGAACTATCACAACCAAGTTTCTCTAAAGCCTTCTTCACCACCCAGCCTCAAGTTAAGTAAAGGGAAATTTCATCATAATTGTCACATTGGAAACATATTTTATAATAACAAACTATAACTGTTTGGAATCGAAAATTATCAATTAGTTGATACTTTTTTATTATTACCTGCAATATAAACACCGACTTTCTGTAGCCATCTAGTTATGGATATTTAGATGGATTTAGAAATCAAAGTAGAACAAGCAAATGGAAACTTCACTAATTACATTGCAATGGTTATAGAAAGTTTATATTGATAACGTATATTTGACTCACACTTATATTAATTTTTAAACAATTCATCCAAATCAGAATGTAGTACTTTTACTTAGCATATCCCATTTACCATGACAATGGCATAATTATACTAGTCCACTATATAAAGAAAATAGTATTTCAACTAAAATTTAATTCAACTTTATAAAATATAGTATAAAATGGTTACATTTTTGCCCGAAAGATCATTATGATATCAATGAGAAATATATTAAAACGTTAAAAATTTATGATAATATCAGTATGAAATTAACAAGGTCCTTGGTTCAGGGAGGCTTTAGTTTATGCTATCTCTTAAGTACTTGAATGCCTTTAGAGAATACAAATGTAATACCAAGGCGAAGTATCTTTGGTCTTCACTATACTGACATGATGGCTTGCTTAAAAGCTCTCAAAGAATATCGGAAAGAAGAATTATTTATCATAATACGGTAAACATGCAGACCTTTGCTGAGGATACATTAATAAACTTTACAGACATAGGTTCAACCAAAAATGTCCTCTGAAACATAAACCTTTGTATGAAGCCAGCTTCGTCTCTAGTTTTGCATTGATTAGCATCTTTTCCACAAGCTCCTGTAACAATCTTTTGCTTGTATCCTTCTCACACTTTTTCACGCAGTTTTGCATTCCTTATATCTTTACGGAACTCGGCATTGCTCTGTTGTAGGAACATAATTCTTCCTTTCACATCATCTTAACAGATATGGTAAGAATACTCCTGAAATTAAAATATATTGGTTCAGTTGAAAATATGTGTAGGTTTATTATGTTTAACATCAGAGGTACAAGGAATAGACGTTCAAGTCGTAAACTCATATGTCCCACCCTACGTTTCAAGTGACGGGCCACCCACTACCATACAACTGCCACACTGGGAATTGAATCCAGAACCTCTAGAATGAGACTTGGGAACTCTACAGCTAGACCATGAATACATTTTCAATTGGAAAATATTAGTAAGGTCTAAATACCAACCTTTGTAATTTGTTCTTCAACCGCCACTGAAGTTGAAGCTTTGTCATCATTTTCTTCTTTATTTGGCAGACTAGCAGGTAGCAGGGCTTCTGTATCCGTGCTTGACTTTCGTTTCACTGCTTTCCGAGCCTATAATATTATGCACGTATAAATTATGATTTTAAACAAATCTTATATTGAGTATTTATGCCAAAATAAGCTTTAACTATAGTGAACATTCAAAAGTCTAATCTGAAGCTTCACCAACAAAGCGGCAGAAAAGTGCAGTTGAGGCAATCAAACGTCGGTAAATTCCTTTCTGAGCCAATCAGAATTAAGATTCAAAGAAATTTATTAGTAAAAATCAGTTAGATTAAGAACTTCTAATATATAGAAAAGCCAGTGCATTTTGTTAACACTACGTTCCAACAATGGCTTTTATGTCATGTCTGTTTCTTTGTTTGTTTAAAGTTAAGCACAAAGCTACACAATGGGCTATCTGTGCTATGCCCAGTTTCTAGCGTTGTAAGGCCGCAGACATACCGTTGTGACACTGGGGGGCTTATGTCATGTCGCTTAGAAACAAAAGTATAACCTCATATTGTTGTTAGTCTGTGTACTGAAAGTATAAAATTAAATGTATAGACAATAAAACTAGAAAAATAGTTTTTGATTTCTTAACTTAGAGTCTCTTTTGATTAAAGAAGTTTTTTTTTCTTTATTAAAAACGTTGGTGATATAACATAATATAGCTTAATTCAGAAACGATTTAAGTTTCAAATTGAATCGATATTTTTACTTTGATGATAAATTTTATGCACTTGACTCTACGCTCGGTGATCCCACACTACGTCTTTACTTTAGGCTTATTATACAAAGACTCACTACATTTATAAGGTTTCACGGCAACCCCACCCTTACGGACCCTTTGCTCCCCCGTCACTAAAATCGTAATATTCTACCTGGATAAATGCATTTGGGCTATTATGACTCCTCTTATTTCGAGAAATCAAGAGAAATCCATCGTGATGCGACGTGACACACAATGGCTTTTATATAGGTTAGATGGTTGGTTCCAATAGTTGAATGTATTTAATGCTGCACCTACCGGCATGAAAATGTAAGTCAAGGAAAATAAATATATATATATTTCAAGATGCTTTTTATTCATGATTCGCAAATTCTTCAACTTAGTGAAGAAATATATTTATACACTCGGAAGTATTTAAGTAAGTCATGTTTTAAAGAACACTTAATATACAAATGTAACAATGGTTGACCATATAATATAATATTATAAAGGCCATATAATATTTTTGAATATTTGTTTCCAATATGTGTTAATTGTTATTGTTTTCCCAATTAATTAGGTACGAGTTAAGCTATCCTATAGTCAAACATTTTTCTTTTCTCTATTACCCTAGGTTGATTTGAGTATACTATGTGAACAACGTGTTGTTTGGTTTTCAATGGTCTTTTGGATGTTAGGCTTGACAAAACCTATTATAAATTCAGCTGATTTGAGTTGACGTTCAATTTACGCATCACTTACTAAGCAGTTATGCTTAAATTTGTATTGGTGTAGCACTGCTCTGCCGTGAGTTTTACGACACAAATATCATTTAATAGATCCGGAACCTTCACCTGAATGCTTTGCTTTTATTAAACATTTTATTTTATTTTTTGAAGCTTGGGTTCATAGAAGTAAGAGAAATAAGCTCTTGTAAAAACTAAATAATAATATCACATTATTCATCATTTGAAATTGTCACTCTGTATAGGTTTGTATTATAAATTTACTTTTCGTAATCTGATAAAGTTAATAAATAGTTATCTTGCTCAAATATTAGTTATTAATAGATTCAAGAGATGGCGATACTATACTAATTTACTTGCACATTCCATCAAAGAAGTTCTATTTGTGAATAGTACCGAAAAGTTTTCACCAGGTGGTTTTTAACTTTGGAGTTGGTAAAAACAGAAAACAATAAAATGAAATAAGAGTTTAGAGCTAATAACATTAAAGATCTTGATGTTTGAAGCCTTGCGTAACAAAAATGTTGTAATATCTTTTGTTCTTTAATCAAATGTATCGTAAGTTATAAATAACTATTACATTAATATCATTAATAGCATTCTCGTTAATATGTTAATAGTTATGACATGTGCAATGGTGTAAATATTATTGGTAAATATCAATAAATAAAATATGTTTAAACCAATGTAATTAACTTTGAAGTAAATGTACTGCTATGCACAAAGTATAAATATGTAGATATTGGTGTTTAAAATATTTAACACGCTACATAGGAAACAAATAAAACCCTACAAGTCCTAAGATAGGAAATACATAAAACCCCCACACATGGAGTAGGTTTAAAAAATGCGTAGCAATCATGGGTGTCCCCTAAATACAGAGATTGGGTTGTCTGTGGCAGTGACCTATTGACTTTTTAAATAGTGGTATGTGTAAATCGGTTTCTTATACTTGTACCATAACTATGAATTTCCATATTATTTTTAAAAATATGTTATAATGATTATCTATCATATTCATTAATTAACCACTAATTACAGATTTATTTCATAAATATGTAACAATTTGATTTTATGAAATAACTGATAAACATAATCTTGATCCTATATGTATGTTATAGATTTCTTTCTTTCTTACCGAAGGTAAAACTGAAGCATCATCTGTGACTCCAAAACCTAATAGAATCTGAATAACTTAAATCCAAGATTACTCTCACTTTTTTTTTGCAAGGAATTCATATTATGTTCTGAAACTTCATCACATGAACTTTTAGCATGTGT